GTTCTTGATCTATCACTCAATGTACTGAAATGTGGAAATTCAACATATAATAACGCAGAGAGTTTTGTTAATCGTGCTTTTTTAAAATAAATTATCTAGCTGCTTGAAATAAAGACTCCAGTGCATCTTCAAGCTAGAATAACAAAAAAATTTGTTTTCTTTTTGCTTATTAATTATTAACATAGCCCAGCTCAACCTCTGTCCAGGGGACACTTGCGCTGGTCCCAACGGTGTCCCTATCAAAATTTTTGGAGATACCTAAATATGTTCTTAGCACTTTACTGCTATGGGGTCACTTAAACGAAATAAACCAAACAATGATTGCAATTGTGCAACTCTGTGCTCAGCACCAAAACATGCAAAGGGAACAAATAATGTTTTTGAAATTCACTGGATTTGTCAGTTTTGTGAAAATGACCCCATGAAAAGTAGTTGCACTGAAGGCACAACTCTATTTTACACAGAGAAATCTGTTTTACACAGGTTTCTTTGGTATTTTTGGAGCGGGAACAAAGTTCATTCTTTGTCGCAGTTCATCTATAGGCTCTTCAAAGTGTTTTTCAAAATAAACATTTAGAAAGAACTTGGATTGATATCCGCAATAAACAGCCCAGGGAATGTAGTACTTCCTTAGTTCTGCCCTCTGTCTGTAAATGAACACAGAAAGGAAGACTATTGACAGCAGATAACGGATCAGAAAACACTGCATGCACGTGTATCAAAAATAAAGTGAAGCCAGAGAAATGGGTTACTTCCTAGATACAAGAAACATAGGCACAAAAGACTAAATTAAAAAAGGGAATAGTTAAAACATTCATGGCAGAATCACAACTTACCTCCCTGTAAGTCGAATTGGAGCTACAAATGAGCTGAGGGCACACATTGGGAGGCCTGTTTGAATCATCTCATACCACTTCACAGCTATTTCATGTGGTACACTGTTAGTTATAATAATTAAAAAAAATTGTTATTATTATTATTATTATTATTATTATTATTATTATAAAAATTTAGTGGTTTGAATGCAAAAGCAGTTCATCAAGAATAAAGACTGCTCTCCATGACAGTGACTGACATTTAGACAATAGCTATTGAAATATGGAATATTTTCATTGACTCTGATGACAACAATAGTTTGTTGAAACATCAGTCAGTTCTTTTAGGAGCAACTATCACCTGCTTGGATGATCAGAAAACAGGATCAGAGACAAAATCTATTCAAATTACAAATGGCTACATGTAAAGTGTTTTGGTCCAGCTGGTTTTTAGTCTAATTTTTCTTGCAGCCATGAAAATTATTATTTTTGTTCATGGCACATTCTTACCACTTTGCAAGAAGAAATTTAGCATCTTTCATACACACCAAGGACACAAACCTTATGGACAAGCCAGCCAGTGTGTGAACAAAGTCATGAACTTCTCTATATCTTTGCATTACGTAGGCAAGATCTTTGTCATCAACATACTTCACCTGAAAGAATTAGAAGCAGAAGTTCTCATCTTATGACTAAGAAAACCACATGGATAAGAAAACCACATGGTGACATGTAACAGAGACAATTTGACTTGTTTGAGGAGAGGAAAGTCTTAATCCATGCCACTGATCACAGGGACAAAGATTTCATTACAAATTTCCACTTGCATTGGATAAATTCAGCAGTTTAGCACCTGACAATTTTTGTATTATATGGCATAACACTTATCCAATAACATGAGCTGTGCACAACTTTCCTCAACTATCACTGACTTACAAGAGGCAACTTGGTTACTAGTAACTTTTACTACAACAAGGCTTTGTTTTATTTGTTGAATGATTAAATTTCAGTGCTTACCTCATCTCTACTGTCAGCTGTAATTTTCTTTTGAATGGTCAAAAAGATGAAGAGAAGAACAATAAGTAAATTTTAGAGAAAAATGATGAGATTTCACAAATACTTAAATCAATACTAAATACATTGTTCACTGGCAAGCATGTTAGCTGGTGCATTTATTTCCCTTGGTGAGAAAAAACACTGATTGTATTTCATTATGTTTGAAAATGACATAAAATCTAGGGCATTCAAAAAAGTACATGGGTGAAAATGTCCCCTCCTCTATTAATCATCCTCTCTTTCTTTCAGAAATAATTCAAGGGAACAATGCCAAGATTTTTGCTTTGTTCATTTGTTGTTTTGTTTTTACCCCTGGCCAATTGAATTCATTGTAAAGTTGGAATATTGAAATACTTGAGACACAACATAAGTTTGGATTACAAAGGAAACACTTTTCAACTTAGGCTAACTATGTGTAAATGAAGATGCACAACAGTTCACATGCTTTTCACAGAGTACTTTGTGCCATAATTAAAGAACAGACTCACATTAGTGTCCATATTTCTGGCATATTCTCTTCCAAATGATCCATCAGGAAGTTGTCGAAGCTTAGTCATGTCTATTATGGATGAGTTTATGCGAGGACATTCTCTTTAAGTTAAACAAGACAAAACAAGTGTAATAAATAAATGCTCAAGTCAATCTGGATTGTGTGTACTCAACATACTGTAGCCTTAGTTGATCTAACATTTGAAATATCATCCAATACGTAGGTCAACTCATACATGGATCAATACTCAGCCAATAATAACTGGTAATGATATGCAAGTGAAGTTTAACTAATGTCTCTTGTCTCAATATGCCAATACTTAGCTGACACCTTGACTAAATCATAGGCTGACTATCAGTCAAGTTTCAGTCAATTGGTATTGCTCTAATAGTTTAGCATCTGGCAAATTTTAATTAACTAACAATGGTCCTCATGATCACTATATTACATGTGTATGGCTTGTATCCAATTATTTAATGAGAGAGGTTGTAAAATGTAATCAAAGGTGATGAACAGAAAGTGAGAAATAGAGACTGCAAAAAAACCCCAGAAATTACTTCCTCAAATTTCTCTCAAATAGTTGCTCGGCTGGTTTTTACTTCTACCCAATCAACATGAATATAGGCAAGATATGGCACTCAACCAAGAGTATTTAAAGCAGCAATTAGTTTAACATATCCATAACAAGGTTGACATCAGAGGCCTACATTAAAAATAAATCTTGAATTATTTGACTCATGACACCAATTTCACCTACTGTAATATCTCTTGTCCAACTGGATCTGCTTGCATTTTTTTGTGCATGTTCTTAAGTGCTAAGAATCCTGTTGTCTCTCCTAGTGTTGCCACCATATCTACAATATCCACAAACATT